TTTTTTTTTTTTTTAAAGCTGACTATATAATATCTAGACCATAAATGAAATTATAAGCATGTACCTTCAAGGTCAACATGAAGTCTCCAGGAATTAATTTTAAAAAATTGGCAAATTAATAATCCTTGACCTAAAGACTATCTTCTGTGCTATGCATCCATCTACTCCAGCCTTTTTTTGATTAGTGTTCATGACACTTCTTCATTACATCCTTCTACTGTTAACCCACCTTTGTCTTTATGTTTAAAGTAAAAATTTTTAGATATCTTGTAGTTGGTTTTCTTGTTTTATTTTATTTGATTATTCCTGGCTTTTCATTTTTGAGGTTTAAAATCACTATATTGAACATCATTATTGATATGTGTGGCTTTAAATGAGCCATTTAAATTTTGTTTTCTGTTTCTCTTACATGCATTTTGTTCTTTTTCTTTTTTGCTTTATTTTGCATTAATTAATGTTTACTTTTTCATAATATAGCCTCCTGAAGAGGTAATCAGCTTTGGTAAGATATAATTCCATCCTCCTGGATGCCTTCTGATTGGAAGAGGATTTGGCACTTGACCAAACTTTCTTGATAGACACACCAGAGAATGACAAGAACTTGTGCCATGATATGATGTGGAAAGATAAAGTGAGGTCATCCTATGTTCTTTCAGGGGATTGAATGAGGAAATGCTGAGAGAATGTTTCATTTAGCAGCAGGTGGTAAAGCTGAAAAGACATGGTACAAAGATAGAGGACAAGGAAGCCATGCTATGTCATCTGCATACCAATGTTATAAATCATTAGAAACTTTGAACAGAAAGACATATTTTCAGATAGAAAGAGATTATGGGAAAAAAGAAAGGTACTGTGGGGACAAAGTAGAGCTCTCTATGGGTCACTAGATCATTCTCTCCTTCAAGTGCTTCTCGGCTCCAATCCCAGCCTATGTATATGTCAATAATAACTCCAGTTTACTTTAAGTAACTTACATGACTCCCTATTCCTGAACTATATAAGTCTTATTGGTAGTGCTATTTATAGTGTCACAGCAATTATTTGCTATTTAGTTAGATTACTGAAAAAAAAAAGAAAAAGGGAATCAAGTTTTTCATATTTTCTAACAATTTATAGAAAAATATTAAGAAAAATGTCTATAAGTATATATTTTTATTCCTAGCTTATATATAATAATGAAAATAATTATTTAAATGATCATTATAAAGAAAAAATATTTCATTTCATTTTGAATATTATGTCATCCTGATTTTTGTGACAATATGTTGAAATAATTAGAACTACCTACTTATAATTTTCACTTTTTTTTTTAATATAACTGGCATGTGTTTAAATGAATGGCTGATTATGTAGCTATGAATCAAAATAATTTATTTTCTTTGAAGCACTTGGATATGAAAAGCAATTAAATAATTTGCCTCATCTGTTAACTGTCTTGAATAAATTTGATCATTGAAGCTCAATTTTACTTTAAGATTGGTCATCACATTAATTCATTTACTTGGCAGATTACTTCTATTCTTCCTGTTGAAACACTTAAATAGTTTAAAACAATAGTGACATCACCAATTTGCCTGTGGGAGTTGGTAGAATATTCATTCCTTGATTTTTGCATTTGAACTCATTAACCTATTAACTGATGTGATTTTATTTGCACATTATTTGAAACAGAGTAGTATGAGAAGCCTGAAATGAGATAGTTTCTCTCTGTCTGTTTTGTTTCTTTATAATCTCCATAATGAGGGTATTGTCCAGACTCTACCACTGATTCTGCCTTTTGTACTCAATATAGAAGATTACTCATCCACATCCATCTCATCTCTCTTGCAGGATTTGAAGGTGAACACTGTGAAATTGATATGAATGAGTGCCTCTCCCTACACTGCCAGAATTGTGTTTACTGTGAGGATGGGGTCAACAATTTCAGGTAGAGAAAATTTAAAAAATTATCTAGATAATATTAAATTTAGAATTCCAATAGACAAATTGAGTATTTCTTATTATTAACAAATTTCCCTTGCTCAAATTATTTGAGATATCAATGTTATGCAATAGTACTAATGGATTTATTTTATTTCTTGTATGCAAGGTGAGTTTGCAGACCTGTATTTTCTGGATCTCTTTGTGAAATTAAAATGTATGAGCGTTCCTTTAACCCTTACAAAACTAATGGAACCTGTGTAGATCTTACAAACAGATTAGAGGATAATTTTCATTGAATTAATTATTTGATATATATAATTTAATAATATGGTGAATGCGTATGTATATTAAACAAAATGGAGGCAGAATATTACTAATATCTGTATGCCCCAACCCAAGCACATTCTTCTCCCTACCATTCAATTTTATTCAATCCTGAGTTGTTATGACTCATGCTTTTAATTTATAGTATTAATTATCTGCATGTATGTTTGAATAAATCACTTTAGTTTGAATATTAATATAAATAGAATAATATTGTTCATAATATTCTTAAATCTGATTTGTTGTTGTTATTCAACATGTTTCTGCATTACCTGTTAAAGCATGTAGTTGTTACTCAGTTTTAACTACTGTAGATATTCCATCTGAAATATATACCAACATTTATTGATCATTCTTATGTTCATGGATATGAGTTATTTACTTCTTTTGGGTTACCAAAAACAGTTCTACTATGTTTACAAACATTTCTCCAAAATACACAAGTGCATACCTATGAATAGAATTGCTGGATCATTGGGTAGACATACTTAACTTTACTAAATCATGCTTTTTTTTTTTCCTCATTTTATTTTGTAAATTAAATACTAATACTCTCAATAATAATGAATAAATGTTCTCATTGATATTTATAATAATATTCAATTTGGGACTATCTGATGTGTGGTAAATTATAATTTTTGTAGTATTACTCTGCATTTCTATCATAATTTATGAGGTTGAACTTTTTTTTTCAACATTTAATATTTTCTTTCTAGAAAAAATTATTTATGACTTCTGCCTGCTAATGTTCCTTTCTGATTGATTTGTATCTCTATACATCTCGAATACTAATACCTTTGTTAGTGGTATGTACTGAAAATATATTCTGCCAGTTAGTGTCTTAAGTTTTCACTTTCTCTGTCATAATTTTTAAATACTAATACTTAATTTTAAGGTAATTTAATTCATCTATTTGTTTATGTGTGAGTTGTTCATTTTACTCTGTTTAACAATATTTTCTCAACTATGATAAAAAACGTATTTTTTTATACTTCATAAAATATTTAAATTTTTGACTCTCCGTACTTAAATCTCAAATTCATCTGGAATATTGTGCATATGTATATATTATTAGTACACATGTAGCGTGAGGTAGAGATCTGTTCATTTTTCTCATATGGATAGTTTATTGTGTCTGCTACATGTATTAAATAAATCAATTTTTTATGCAGTGATTTGCAATGCCTCCTTAGTTATAGTTCAAGTTCCCATACATCAATAAGTCTATTTCTCTGTCTCTATTCTGTTTCCTTAGTTTAGCTAGTCATCCCTATACTAGCACCATAAATCTTAATTACTTTCCTTTGAAATATCTTTATATTAGTAAGGCAGGACTTCTTATCTTCTAAATCTTCAGAAATTGTTAGTTATGTTTTACTATTTCTTTTGTTACAATTGACTTATTATATTCCATATAAATATACATGAACAAGAAAACACAAAAAAAGTAGAATTTTTGTTGCAATTGTAATGAATGTGTTAGATCAATTTGATAGTAATTGATATATCTTTATTTATTTCAAAACCAAACCAAACTAACTGCCGTTGAGTCGGATCTGACTCATAGCAACCCCTCCTTGGGTTTCTGAGGTGGTATCACTGTAGAAGTAGATTGCCCAACCTTCCTTCCGAAGAGTGGCTGGTGAGTTTGAACCACCAGCCTTCTGGTTAGCAATTTAACTGAAAATTCTCTGAATAGAATATTTGTACCCCACATGCAAAAGGCTCTTTTTATGGGTTTTACTAGAGATTCCATTCTAGAATAGCTGTTGAGATTATTATCATAACCTGATTAAATTTCCAATAATTTTCTATGGTCCATCTGGGTTTTGCACTACCCAATCTGATTAGATAAACAGAGGTATGTTTGGAATCACCATTCCTATAACTCAAGTTTTTCATGGTGATACTAATCACTACAAGTTCAATGTTAGCTGCCATTGAATTGATTCTAAATCATAATGATCTTATGTTCAACAGAATGAAACATTGTCTGATATTCCATCATCCTCACAATTGCCAGAATGTTTGAGCCTTTGATTATAGCTATTGTACAGGTCTGTCTCATTGAGGGTCCTCCTTATCCTTGTTGTCTCTCTACTTCACGAAATTATGCCCCCTGCTAGAGATTGATCCCACATGGGGATATGTTCACATCAACCAAGTGAGACAATATTCTGTTGTGAGGCACAAGGTTTTCATTGGCTAATTTTTGGAAGTATATCACCAGACATTTCTTCCTAGTCTGTCTTAGATTGGAAGCTTTGTTAAAGTCTTTCCAAGGATGGCCCTGCTGGTGTTTGAAATGCCGGTAGCATAACTACAGTAAGACAAACTGACAGACAGGTGGTGGCCGATCCCATTAGAGACACAGAATTTCTTTTAGTTCAAAACTGTAATGAGTGAGAAAGGACAATTAAAATCTTCCATATAATAGCTATATTCTCATAGTTCCAGCAAGATGGTGGACTAGGCAGAAAGACTGCACAGACCTTCTTCAACAAAGAAAAGGGAAACAAATTAACATAGACACAGAAGATAATCCTGGACTCCTGAGCCTTGAAGGGAAGGATATAGAAGTTGACTAAACCCCAACTAGCAGAAGAATTTGTGTGAAAATACCAATAAAGGAGACATACGGAGCTGTGGTCTGGCAGCAATTCTGAGCTATCCTGACTGCACGGACAGCTTGCAGACTCCCAAGTGGTGGTAGGACTTAAGAATTAACCTAAAAATCCCCCTGCTAGCCAGGGACTGCACAGAAGACTGTGCGTGGTGGCTGGGGAACAAACAGAGCAGGTGAAGAGAAAGGTGGGCTGAG